CTCCTCCACCTCCTCCACCTTCTCATCCTCTCCTCATCCTCATCATCATCCTCATCCTCATCTTCATCATCATCATCATCATCATCATCATCATCATCATCATCATCATCATCATCATCATCATCATCATCTCATCCTCATCCTCATCCTCATCCTCATCCTCATCCTCATCCTCATCCTCATCCTCATCCTCATCCTCATCCTCATCCTCCTCATCATCATCATCAGCATCATCATCATAATCATAATCATCATCATCATCATCATCATCATCGTCATCATCATCATCATCATCATCAACATCTCCGTATCCATGTTGGCTCAAGCCGTTTTGTCGGTCTGAGCCGGAGAGTCAGCCTGCAGGCCCGCCTTTTCTCATGTTTGCGCGACTCGTCGCTTTCATATTCCACATTGCATTCTTTCTGCAGCCCTGCCTCCGCGGGAAGCTCCTCCCAGGCCCGGATGACGTCACATGGCAGAGATTGGGCTCAGGAGGGCTGGCAGCAGCACACCGACGGATCCTGGAGCAAGGGCACCCGGCATTGGCACCCGCAGTAGTCGTCTCGAACGTGGGAGTGCAAGGTCTGCCATTCCACCAACTGGTGCCCCAAGACCAAGTGCTCAGTGTGCGGCGTGACGACGTCGTTCGTCCCTGCATCGGCTTCCACGGGAACGCCACCGTCAAGCTCTCCAGCAGCTGGGGTGGCAGCACAGCTCTCGGAGGTTGCTTCGATGCTCAAGCAGGCCTCCCCGCAGGGCGAGACGGAGGTCCCTTCGTCTTCATCGGTCCAGAGCCCCTCGAACGAGGCCCCCGACATGACCAGGAGCCAGCGCCAGACCGCCATCAAGCAGTTGGAAGCAGCGTTGGCCACCCTCCACGGCGCCGAGCATGCGGCCCTGAGGGATTCGATCAACCAGAAGATTGCCAGCCACAAGCAGGCGATCATCTCGGACAAGCCCCTGGGCCAGCGCAGGGACCACTGCAAGGCCGCGCTCGAGAGGGCCAAGAAGCGCTCCCAGCAAGCCCGAGAGGCCCTACGCCCGACGCCGAGGCCCGCAGTCGGGACCTTTTTCTGCGCTTCGAGGCTTCCCTGGCCCAGCATGCGGCCAAGGAGTCGGGCGGCATGAACGTGCCGCGGCGCCACTCGGCGAAGAGCCCCCCAGTGCCAGGGGAGGACACGAGCGCCCCCGGGGTCGCGCTCACCCACCGCCACGTGGGCAAGCAACCCCTACAGCCGCAGGAGAAGAAGAAGAAGCAGCAGACCCTCACCAATTACTTAAACCTCTCCAGCGGGATCCCGGACCCCGCAAAGATGGCCCCTCCGCGCCCGCGGAGCCAGGGCCCCGAGCAGAGGTACTCGCCATATCCCGAAACGCCACCATCGTCAGCAGCGCGGAGATCAGCATCAGCCCGCCCACAGGTGTCTTTTGCCGACGTGGTTGCGAAAAGCGACGGGTGAACTTCGCCATGGAGGCGAACCAGTACCACTACATTCCCGACCTCGGGCTTCACCATCAAGATCTCCAAGTTCACAACAGTGCTCCTTCGAGGTGGCAGAGACATTGTGACAAGAGAGCTCGCAACGGAGCTCAGCTCATTCTTGCCACCTTCAATGTCCAGACACTGGATGCGAAGGAGCGCCGGCAGCTACGCCGCATCGGCGAGAGCGTCACCGCTCGCACGCACTACGTTGAGGACTTCTTCAACAAGCATCACATTCAGTTGGCAGGCATCCAGGAGTCACGTCTTCCCGATTCTGGTTGTCAAGATCTGGACCATTACTTCGCCTTCTCCGCCCCCTTCACTGACGACGGGTTGGGGGGAGTGCAGATCTGGCTTCATAAGGCTCTCAAGGTCTTGGCCAGCACGGCGGCCGCGAATGCAGTCAGCCCCCGTCTGCTACGCACAGAGTTCTCTGCAGCAGGCCTCGCGGAAGAGAAGCGAGCCTTCTGGGCATCCCTCCACAAAGAATTGGCCGCTGCACTGCACAAGCGCGCCCTGGTCGTCTTCATCGATGGCAACGACGACGACGAGGCGGCCAGCGTCAACTCCAACTACCAGTTCGCCTTCGAGCGCCGCCTGGCGCACGACCTCCAGGACGCCGCCGGGTTAAGCGGCACCATGGAACCCACCTGGTTCGGGATCCCGGGCGAGGAGAAGCGCATCGACCATGTCTGGCTCGGCCCCCGCGGGCACCGCAAGCTGCGCGCCACGAGCGTCCTGCAGGATTCGCTGTGCTTCTCCGAACGGGAGGACCACCGGGTAGTTAAGGCCACGGTCGCCTTGGACCAGTCGCTGGGTCCGAGGCCTGCTCCCAGCCTCAAGATGTCATCGGAAAAGCTGCACGACCCCAAAATACGCCGGGCCTTCGAAACGGACATGTTCGCCCTCGCGGACGAGCTCCAGCACAACGTCACTCAGGGCCCCGACGTCTACCACGCTCAGATGATCGAGCACGTCCAGGACATCCAACGTGAGCACTTCTTCGCGCCGGCGTCACAAGTTCCCAAGAAACCCTGGATCTCTTCGACGAGCTGGGCTCTCATCAAGAACACCCCGGGCATCAGGAACTTGGCAGTCTGGAGCTGGCAGCAGGCGCAGCGCCTCCTATTCCAACGAGGGTTTCGAGCATGGGCGGGTCATCTGCGCAGTCCTGCTTCGCCCGAGTATGCCGCTCTACGTGGGTCCATCGCGGCCGCCCGCAGGGGGGCGGCTCAGTCCTCTGCCTCCCTGTCGGCGCACCGCGCTGCCACGAGGGCGCTAAGTCGGGCCGATCGGCAAACCTGGGCAGAGGGCCTGGCAAGGCAGGCGGACGTCGCAGACCGAGATGGCAACACCAAGGCTCTCTTCGGCATCGCCCGTCAGATTGGGACGCCCCGGGGTTTCCGGAAACGCGCGAAGGTCAACGACGAGCAGGGGCGCTCGCTGTACGATCCTGGTCAGATCTCCTCAAGGTGGAAGCGCCACTGGACGTCCTTGCTCGCCGGCCAGATTCCCCCTATGAGCGAGGTCGCTGCCCACGTGCAACAATGCCCGCGTCCAACACTCCACCGACCTTCTGAACCACCTGATCGCAGTTCCGTATGGCGGCAGTTTTCGTGGGTTCATCCTAAAAAGGGAGTTGGGCCAGATGGTATTGGCGCTGAGGTGTGGCGAGCTGGGAGAGAGGGCACGCTTGACGTAGTCATGCCCCTGTTCAGCTTGGCCACCTCGGCGGCGACGGCTCCGGCGGCCATGGAGGGCGGCAAGCTTTTCGACATCTGGAAGCAGAAAGGCGACCCCGCAAACTGCGACTCTAGCCGCGGGATCCTCGTTTCAGATCATCTCTCGAAATGGTACTGCGTATCAATCGCCGGGCCCGTCTTCCAACATGTACACGACTTTATTGGCCCTGCGCAGTGCGGCTCTGTACCAGGAAGAGATGCTACTCTCCTCACTCCTGCGCTGAAAACGTTGGCGGAGAGAAACCTTACCACGCGCGCGTCATGGGCATTACTTTTTCTTGACCTTGCCAAGGCTTTCGATTCCATCATCCGCGACTACTTGCACGGTGTTGATCAACTACACCCACCCACGCTCGCCGAAGATCTTCAGCGTGCTGGCGTTCCTCCTGAGGTTGCCCGCGAAGCACAAACCTACCTTCAGCAGCACCCGCCTCTCCTCCAACAAGCAGGCCTACATGAAGACGACGTGCGCCGGGTGGCCGATTGGCACACCGGCACGTGGTTTGCAGTCCGGGGCGACGGAGATGATGTTGTACTCGCTCGGCGCGGAACCCGCCAGGGATGCAGGTTGGGCGCCCTATGCTTCAACCTCGGCTACGGGCTGGGCCTCGGGCGCAGGAGGCGCCGTTTCATCGAAGAGGGCATCGCCCTGCAGCTGCTCGCGCCGGCCGTGCTCGCTGCACCTTCGGCCACAATCCTCGATGATAAACCCAACCTGCACAACCCGACCAACACGCCGAATGACGCCGAGTACGTGGACGACACGGTCTTCATGTTCCAGCAGCAGCAAGAGGGTCGCACCGAGCAGGTCCTCCTGCAATTGGATAGAGCAACTGGTACTATTGTAGAAGAGTTCCGCCAGATTGGCCTCACCATCAATTTCGGCCCTGGCAAATCGGCAGCAATGGTGAAGGTCTTCGGTCCACGCTCGCGCACGCTCCGCCAAGAGCGCTTGCTGCGTCAAGGTAAGGAGGAGTTCGTCACACAGCACGGCAACGTCCTTCAAGTGGTTCATCATTTCCAACATCTTGGGACCATACTACAAGACGCTGGCGGGCACCAAGCCGATGGACGCCGCAAGGCCACCAAGGCCCAGCAGTCCTTCGCGCCGCTGGCGCACATCCACCTGAACACGAAGCTCATGCTCGCGCAGTCCTTGATCCTCTCTCGCGCCCTCTACGCTGTTGCTGCCTGGAGGGGCAGCTGGACAAAGGCTGGCAGCCGCTCGAGGCCCAGTACCACCGCGTCCTGCGCAGGATCAACGGCACAATGAGGTACGGCGCCCCCGACACCATCACCGACGCTGCTGTCCGTTGGGCCCTGTCTGTCCCTTCGTTGCACTCGTTGGTCCGAGCTCGTAGGCTCGCCGGCCTCTGTTCGCAGATGTCTGCTCCTCCGCTTGTGGTTAATTGTATTTCTGCGATTCCGAAGCCCCCGTCCGCGTTTGAGCTATTGCCTGATTTGAGACATCTTCAGCGGTTTCACTTTGACTGTTTAGCGGCCTTGGGAGACCCATTCGCCTGTGTCATGAGTTCAGCGCTTGTCTCCCACCCGGCTGAGCGCCCTCCCTCCTTCGCGAGGCGGCTGCGAGACAAGCAGGCGGCAGATGCCAGCCTCTTCGTGCCCAAGGATCCACTCCTCCCTTGCCCCACGTGCGGTAAGCAGTGTAAAGGGACGAAGGGTCTGGCCGCTCACCAACGCCACGCCCACGGCGTTAAGATGCAGGCGCGGTACTATATCATAGAACACATTGCCCATGCTGCCACAAGAATTTCCATACTCGGCCTCGAGCCTTGCACCACCTTCAGTTTTCGAGCAGGCAATGCCGAGAGAAAATGAAGGCTGGTCTTTTACCCCGCCACTCCGAACAGGCTGTGATAGCAGCCGACCAGGCGGATGCCTCAGCGCTCCGCGCCACGGGAGCCCGGGGCGAAACTCGCACTCGAGCCTTACTTCCTCCGCTGGCGCCTGACGTGGACCCAGCGGTATAAGTTCCGGTTTACCGTAGTCTGCACTGCCCCTTGGCCGCGCTCGCTGCTTCCTCAAGCCGCGATTCCAGCAGAGCTCCAGGTCCGCCTACAGCCCAGCCAATCAATCAATCAATCAATCAATCAATCAATCAATCATCATCATCCTCATCCTCATCCTCATCCTCATCCTCATCCTCATCCTCATCCTCATCCTCATCCTCATCCTCATCCTCATCCTCATCCTCATCCTCATCCTCACCACCACCACCACCACCACCACCATCATCATCATCATCATCATCATCATCATCATCATCATCATCATCATCATCATCATCATCCATCACCATCACCATCACCATCACCATCACCATCACATCATCACCATCACCATCATCCATCACCATCACTCACCATCATCATCATCCATCATCATCCTCATCATCCTCATCCTCATCCTCATCATCCTCATCATCCTCATCATCATCATCATCATCATCATCATCATCATCATCATCACCACCACCACCATCATCATCATCATCATCATCATCATCCTCATCATCATCCTGATCCTGATCCTCCTCCTCCTCCTCCGCCTCCTCCTCCACCAGCTCCTCCTCCTTGTCCTCGTCATCCTCCTCCTCATCTTCCTCCTCCTCCCCCTCATCCTGCTCCTCCTCATTGTCCTCCTCCTCCTCTTCCTCCTCCTCCTCGTCCACGTCCTCCTCCTGATCCCCTCCGCCTCCAGTTTCTCCTCCGCCACCTCCTCCTGAGCATCATCACCAGCAGCAGCATCCTCCTCCTGCTCCTCCTCCTGCTCATCATCACCATCATCATCCTTATCGCCAGTATAATCCGCATCACCGTCATGATAATCACCATCATCATCATCATCATCATCATCATCATCATCATCATCATCATCATCACCATCATCATCATCATCAGCAGCATCATCATCGTCATCATCATCATCGTCACCATTACCATCATGATCAGCATCGCCAGTACCATCATCAGTATCAGCATCAGCGTCAGCATCATCATCTTCATGCCCGAACGATGGTTTATCCGAGACCAGCGTCGGAGCGCATTTGAAAGCGAAAAGCAGCACCGTGTGCACACGGGCAGAAAACATTCAATGACCGAATTCAACCCTGACTCGGGGCCCCACGGCCAAGGCGAAATTTTGCGAGAGCCAGGGATGTATGGGTGGGATCTCGAGAGCCGAAGGCTATGGAATGCAGGCATTCGTTCTCTCCCCTCCACCTCGAAATGCATTCAACTTCATAAGAAAAGACCATGCCCGAACGATGGTCTCTCCGAGGCCAGAGTCAGATTGCATTCGAGAGCGAAAGGCAGCACCGTGTGCACACTGGGACCCGGGCAGAGAACATTCAATAACCGAATTCAACTCTGACGCGTGGCCCCACGGCCAAACCTTCCCGAACATTCCGGAGGCTCCTCCTCTTTAGTCAGCAGCCGATCCACAACGGCGAGACGGATAAAGCTTCAGACTGCAAGCGCGCGCTGGCAAAAAGTCTCGCCCATCTGGCGGCGAGCGATGTTGGATAAGGCTGCGCCACAAGAGTCCACAGTAGGCCTCCTGGAGCTCTGCCCTTCAGACTCTGATGGGGCTTGCCAGTCCTGCTGCAACATGTGCGGGGGCCTCTGCAAAGACGAGCAAACGCTTCAACAGCTACGCGGAACCCCAAAAGACCCGTGGGCTTCTTCCGAGGGGTTTCGCATTGAAAGTAGCGAGTGACCGCCCAAAAGACATGCGCTTGCTGCCGAAGCCGCTGAAGTGACAGAATGAGCGAAAGCCTGGACATGGCAAGGGTCTCGATTCTGAAAGGAATCTGCATGCGCCGACAACCAGACCAGAGGCTTTCACACAACCTCACGAGCTTATTCGCCAGCGCTAGCTGAGCACGGTCGGATGGGCGCGCCGCGGCACCCAGGCCCCAGATCTCGTCGTCAGATCTCAAGCGACTGGGCCAAGACCCGGGCCCACCTGGTGCACGAAGAGGTTCAGCGCCCCTCATCCCGGTCCACGTCTGGCAGGGCGCCCCGAAGCGCATGCCCCAGATGAGTCCCGCGCCAAGCCAGCCGCGCAGCAGCCGCGCCACCGTCGGGGCCGCCAGATCCCAGTCGGGCCCCCAGGCGACGCCCCACTCGATGACCAGGGGGGCCCCCCTGCGCAGGGCGGCCGCGAGCACGCCCTCGCCCGAGAACACCTCCACGAAGATGGGCGGCGCCAGGAAGCGGCGCGGCCCAAGCAGCCTCCTCAGCGCCAGCTGAGGAGCGAGGCCAGCCGAGCGGGGGCCAGGGGGGCCCAGCCTCTGCAGCTGCTCGTTCACGCGCCCGGGCTTCAGGAACTGGGCGACCGAGGCGCCATTCGTCCAGCGGCCGCGCAGCTCGACGCTGGCCAGGGGCGCAGCTTCACGGCCAGCTCGACCGACGGCCCCGAGTGCCTGAGCTGGCACAGCTGCGGCGCCAGCGTCGCAACGCCGACGTCGGCAGCCGCCTGCCTGAAGAGGGCGCCGGCCTGCACGAAGGCGGTCGGGAACAGCGGCGCGTTCGGATGGGTCGACTCCTTGAGCCAGCGAAGGGCCGCCGGCAGGAAACCGTAGAACGGCGCGTCGAAGGGCGCCACCTAGTCGTAGACCTGCGTCTTGCAAGGCACCGCCAGCTCGCGGGGATGGAGGGCCAACGACCACCCGTCGCACGCCCCGCCAGACCTCGGATTTGGGCGCCCGGAGTGGGCACGGAAAAATGGGCACAATGCCCAACAATTACGCTACCGAGGAACCCCACATACATATATGATGGCTGGAGAGATGAGAGCTGAAGTGAAGCATGTGAGAATGATGTTGGTGGCCGTTGCCCCGCCGATACCGCTGTGCCCTGGGCGACCGTCATGGATAGCGGCCGCGGTGAGAGACCACCCCCTGCGCACCCCCTTATGGTGTCGAGAATATGTCATGCCTGCTGTGCCCTGGACGACCGTCACGGATAGCGGCCGCGGTGAGAGACCACCCCCTGCGCACCCCCTGTGGTGTCGAGAATATGCCATG